ACGGCTGCTTTGGGCATCCCAGTTCTAGAGATCATAGGATTGCTGTTCGACAACTCTGGGAGACGTCCGATACAAGCTTTGGACGCCCTGAGACAACGATAATAGTTCTGGGAGATGCCTGGGACGTTCTGGGACAACCTAGGTCAATGGTGATGATCCTTGAACTGGTCTGGGACCTCCATAGACACTCCTAGGATGTCCCGGGGCAGGGGCGATAGTCCTGGGAGATGCACGGGACGTCCACGAGTGCCCCTGGGACGTCCTGGAACCAAGGAAATAGTCCCGGGACATGCCTGGGACGTCCACGAACAAAGGTCATGAACCAGGCTGATTCCTTCTGGCCCTCCGCAGAGACAAACTATCAACACTCGTTGTTCAGACCACCAAAGCTGGGTTTTGTTCTCGTCCGCGAAGTAAGATAAATCTCAAACATCAAGATGTCTTCAAAGCAAATAAACCACACCGAGTCAATCACGTCGACTGCGCGACAGCTATGCCATGGAGCTCGTTCTCGTCATCATCAAGTTGTTTAGGAAAACGAATGCCTCTCCTGTGCACACATATCCATACTAGATGCCTTTCCCGATCATGTACGAGAAGAGCTAGGTCACAACAGCGGCAACAAGCGATCTCGATGCAAACCCCTCACCGTCCTTGTTTATTACGTCGCGTTCTGGTCTAACCTCCGACTCCAGATCGGTGACGACCTCGTCACGTTGCAGCTTACCACGGCCGGAATATTTCGGCCATCTGAGATGCGGTAAATGCAGAACTGATCTGCCCGATTGGCCTTCCCTCTAGCTCTGCGTCGGGACTTGCGATTTAATGGTCTTGGTGCCATTGCCGCGGCATCAGTCTCATCCCTTTCCATAGACATATGATCTTCAGAAAGGACTTCGTCTGTGCGTCCGAGATTCGTGCGGCTCTCAAAAGTCACGGTCCCTTGCAAGCCGATATCACTTCTGAGTCGCGCGTTGCTGTACAGCTCGTCGATGAGCTTCTGAACCGCGTTCTCAACAGTATCGCGCTGGAAATTCCCGAGGTCAGTCTCGTTGCTGATCGGGCTGATCAAAGACATGACGTAGTCCAATTGATGCGGCGATGGGAACACGGGTCTCGAAGCGAATGAGCGGGAACTTGAGAGTTGATCCCATATCTCCTCTTGCCTCGCCGTGAAGTCATCCCATGGAATGATTTGTCGAGGAAAAATCCGGCCGGTCGGGTTAATCGTATTGCCTTACGTATTTAAGGTATGATCGGTCACCACCTGGATGGCGAGGCTGAGTGACAAGATGCGAGATACTTTTGAAGGGTCTGTGGTTGTGACGCCCTCGCGAGTTCTTCAGCCTCCTCGCGTCGGCGTTGTTCTTTCTTGCGAAGGTGCTGCTCTGCCAGAAGCTGTCGTCTTAGTTCTGCGAGTTCATCTTGCATTGTGACTCGGAAGATGTGTGAAAGAAGCAAAGCTATGAATGAATCGACCATTGAGTTTCGGCAATCTGAACTGTTTAGATGTAAATTGTTACGTTTGATCCATTTCGCCCCGACAACAATCGCGCCGCAAACCCATAGTCACGTGATGAAGAGGCGGCAAGCTGACTAAAGCTGTCCCTTACCTGCGGGCGGCGCATGTCACCGACTGCGCCGACGATTGTGCATTTGTGGGATCCGGTTCTGCGGAAATCTCCGTGGTTGTGTAATATTAGAAGTTCGCCTGGCGAAACATCAAATCGCTATCGACTTGTCGCGGTGAAGCCCTACTGCTTTGCCGCTGGAATTCGCAGGTCAGGAGACAAGAAAGTCAGCGCAATGCTTTTAAAATGCACAGAAATCACGGGACCCGGCCCTTTTTTTTTTTTTTTTTTTTTTTATAGATGGGACAATTACATCCATTTCAAGTGTCGGAAAGACAATATAGCATACCGCTGAGACGATGTTTCCCTCACATCTTTCCCAGTTCCTCCTCCCTTTTCTTCATGATAGCCCAGTGTTGAAAGGCACCCTGCTCGCTTCGTTGCAACTTACCAGCAATCCACGACCACTCCTTTTCCTCTTGAACCCATGCGCGCAGACGTAACTCGTCTAAGGGTGTCCAACGAAGACGCTTAGGTCTCTTGCTCTTTTGCTCAGGAATGTCAGGGCTGTCACGACGATCGGAACTCACACTTTCGCTTTCGCGGTCGCTGTCTTCAGAGTTGCCATCTGAGCTTTCGTCATCTTTGACTGTCTCGGAGTTTGATAGCCCCACAGTTGCCTCCCGTACCTGTTCTTGATTTGTCCCATTATAGGGATCGCAGATTCCCGTGATTATTGCCTTATGTGAAAGCCTCTTCGTAACATAATCTCTAACGAAACCGAGGAACAGCCGAAGAATGTCTGATTCCCTTCCATTGCCAGACAGCTCAGCAACACTTCGAGTAAGAGCCTCGACGGTATCGCTTATCTGCAGCAAATGCTCTGCAGAGAAGCCACAGGTGTGACATGTGGCTGAGGATGCATTCACTGTGGTGGCGGCAGGAGGGAAGCAAACTCGTCCATTCTTCTGAGGATTAGACTTTGCTGAAGAATGGTTGGAATGAGACGAAGGCGGCGAAGTTACCTCGAGTATAGTTTGCGATCGCCCCCGCCGTGTTCTCGTCCGCTTCCCTCTATTTGGGGCATTATCCACGTCCAGTGAGGGAAGCCCATCAAGGTGAGGTTGGACATCGTGACAACTTATGGGGCTAGAGGCGCGAGACCGTGGCTTTGATCTTGAGGAGCGCCGAATATGTCTTTCGCACTGGGCTGGAACGCCGCTCCTGCGTGGCTTCTCTGCCAAGACTCGAGAAGGTAGTGCGCGCAAAGTTCTCGCTGGAAGAGCCTTTATTGCAGTCGTCTTATTGGGATCTCGTGATCTCTTTCGTTTAGGAAGGCAAAGATCGTCGCTCTCATGACCATGTTCGCTTGCCTCGTGGCCTCGTTTTCTCCGACTAGTGACGGCATCACCACCTTGCTGTGAGACGGAGGCGTGATCTGAGGATGGAGTAGGAAGCGCAGAAATGTCTGGTTGATATTCTTCCGTTATCCCCAGTGAAGCGGCGACATCATCGACGGAGAAATTGGAAACAGGACTTGATGCGTATAGTGGGCTCTTCGCAGGGTCGAGCGCCGCCGAGTTGCTTGTTGAGAAGGTCATCGGCCAGTGTCGATCCGTAATTTGAGGTTCCCGAACCGCTCCAATCGAAGAAAAGCTCTCGCGATCGTTGTCGTCATCATCAGAGCTCCCGTTATCGTCGTTGGCTGAGCCGTCATCACTGCTTCCGCAGGTGTCGCCGTTCTCGCTCCTCTCCTTGTCTTGGGTAGTGCCTATGGGAATTCCTGTCAGTTTAGGATATCGTCTTGCGTATTGTTCTTAATCACTCACATTCGTTCACGTCATTTGGAACACAAACTGCCAGGCGAAGTTGCCCGGTTGAAGATCTAACTGGACCGAGAGCCAGGGACTGCTTGTTTGGTGGAGAGGCAACTGCGATTTCCTGTGAGGTCAATCCTGTGGGAGGCTGAGAAAGTACAGAGGCACAAGGCGACCAGTGTTCCGAAAACTTGATTCCATCATGTGTGGTGTATTTGCCGGTTTCCGCTGTAAAACCATCGATCTCGGATCTCGAGGCAAAAGGTAGCCTTGTATGTGTGAGATCGCCCAAAGCATCGCCGTGGTATGACTCGCCTGTCGCGAGAGCCTCAATGAGATTGGGATTTGGTTCGTCGATACGGAGAGGGAAGTCGGGAGGACTATCTGCTCATTGTAAGTCAATGCCTCGAAAGATATGATGCGAGCGTACCCAACGTATAGCTTGAGGTCTGATTCTCTGTCACAATTGAGCCCCTGATATCTCGCTCGAGTGACGTTGTCAGCGCTGTTGAATTGAGTGTTAATGTTTGCTGTTGCTTTCGCTGCTCCTCGCGCTTGCGTTGACGTTTCTTTTCCTCGCGCAGCATCTGTTTACGCTCGTTTTCTTGATAGAACTTTGCATATGAATGCACGTCATGCGTTCTTCTGAAGTGAGATTGAGCCATGTCGGTGAATGAGGAATAATTTGATTGAGTCTTAGCGGACTGGAACCAGTTCGCTGTCGTGATCATGGGGAGACGGGTTTATATGCGTTGTTTTCCAAGTGAACGACCCAGTCGCTCAACAGAACGCTCGGTTCAAGCCATCACCTCACCAAGCTATGGAAGAGCTTGCAGCTTCCACATTCGCAGTGGGAATGGGCAGAAAACCCACTCACCGGTAGTCACACCGCTTGAGCAACGATGTGAACCCCTGATGGCGCGTATTCTTCACTGTCAACCTCGGATATGCCCCTGAAGCGCTGGCGGCGTTCTTCCCCTTTCAGGATAGTCGTGACAGAACAACTGTCAGGCGTATCATGGCCATTGACATAGTAACCTGCAGCTCTGAGCCCCTGGCCAAGCCCGTGAGCCACGTCACAACGTTAAAGATGACCGGGGCCATCTCATACGCCAGGATCGCTCCTGGCGTCGTGAATCATAGTTGTCGGACGGAGATAGGAGTCCAGCCGTTGACGCCAACTCTCGGACTGATAATTGCACCGTGTGAGGCCTGTCCAGCTGAGACTGACCCCTTATCGAGCCTGCTCAACCTTGCAGCCGGCGTAAAGTCTGGCCCCTTGGCTAGGGAAGAGGTCATCTGCACTCTCTCCTGAAGGTGGCCCCTTGATTGTGCAGGATCAACCGCACGATCCGTCAGGATACTACCTCGGACGCATGATATTTTCAAGCTGTTGGGATTGGGCAGGACTGATGGCGGAGGTGTCGATTGTCTAGGGAATTTGTGCCGGCGCGCCGAGCTGTGCTCAGCCTTCCCGATACCTTCCGTCTCGTATATGCAACGTGATTGC